TCTCGGTTACCCGGCTGAACCGGCCAACCGGCCAACCGCCGGTTGATCGGTTCACCCGGTTGGCGGTTGTCGGTTGAAACCTGATCCCTGTCCGGCTTCTGCGCATGCCAGTGTCCCCCTTGGTGGGGCCTGCTCCCCGACTCCATTGCTGACTTCTGGCAGCATCCGGCAAAACCAAAGAGCCCTTCCTACATAAAGCCTTCCAAACCGTCACATAGTCACAGCCACTGAAAGAAAGGGAAAAAAAAAACAAAGAGGCATGAACTTGAACCCCAATTCATTCCCAATCCATCCCCCTCACCATCTCGTTCTGACCTTCTCGGGTTGGCATCCAAAAAAATTAGAAAACAAAGAAACGACTCACCTGCCCCTCTGGCGTCTTGTAGACGATCCCGAATTCCAGGCGTTCCGCCGTGGGAGAGGCCGTGTCCATGGTCTTCACCAAGACCTTGGCCGTCAGCTCCTCAGCGGGGCGAGGCCAATCGGCGAAGTGGTCCCAACACCCACGGTCCAACGAGTTGAAATACACTCCAACTCGCTCACATGGAAGTGGGAAACCCCCAGTTCGCAAAGGAAAGTAGTCTTCCTTACGGGACCATTGGTCACTTCCATGTTAGTGAGTCAGAGTGTACGGAGAAACCCATCTGGGTGTTGAGTACACTCAACAGTGCCAGTCAACACGTTGGACGTTGCCCACTATGGTGCTGAAATGTGCTGAACAATGATACATACAATGATATCTTCAACGCAAATGCCCCGTCGTTGACTCATAATAATTATAACAGGACTCTGGTTGTCCAAGGCCCATGTTGATGGAAGAAATCCAGCCAAAAACACTCGGATGCCAAAACATCCAAAAACACTCGGGAGTCCTCCGACTGGCAATACGTGGGTCTGGTCTGGTCTGGTCGAGAACTACCCAACAACAAGCCCTGAGCCAGAAGCTCAACTTCCCATGTCGAGGCTCCAAGGCTTCTTGAAGCTTCATGCCGGGCTTCCAGTCTTGTCGCATGATCTGCATGGCCTTTGGCGGAAGCAAGGTGCTGCGGGGTGCACCAGCGACATGCACACCAGCCCAGCACCAAGCCGCTTGGCCCAACACTTGGCACAACCAACGAGTTCAAGCGGCAAGGACAAAAGCTCCTAGTAGCTTCTTGTTCCTAGTTCCTAGTAGTAAGGCCAGGAGCCCCTAGTAGCCATGGCAGGAGCTACTAGTAGCTTCTTCCTCCGTTCGTAGCGATGCCCTTTGCTCCGTTCGTAGCGTCCTCTACCCCCATGTTTGGTTTGAAGATCGTTGGAGGTCATCATGTCCCAACATGTCTCAACATCTAATCCTGTGTCAACGGCTTGAGTCTCACCCAGCTGCCCACCCGTTTCTGTCTGTCCAGGGACGGTGTTGTTGTTGACACCAATGGCATAGGACTTCCAACCACTGAAGTTCCCAGAGGGATCTGTGTGGTACAACTGAAAGCCATGATGGGTGTCGTAGCCAGCCACCAGGAAGGACACCCCAAAGGGCCGGAGACCACCAAACTGTGTGTAGCCCTGCTTGTAGTCACCTCAGTCTCAAGCCTTCTCATCGACACAAGGCCACAGCTAATCAGCTGCTTAGCTTGGGCAGTTGGGAGGTATGGCTGGGACCGTCTGGGGACGAATTCTCCAACAACGACTCATCAGAAACCCCCTCCCGCCACGGCGCTCACGTGCGAGGGAGGCGCTCTCGTGCGACCGGTCCTATTCCGCCCAGGTGGAGTTGGTTCCCGTGCCTCCCAGGGCCCCACGCACCGAACCACCCAAGTCGCAAATGGAGGTGACCAGCTGCTCCACGGGCATGCATTCGGAAAAGCTATAGGCATGCTGTTGCGCAGTCAGCCTCAGTCTATTGATGAGGATGTTGGCGTCCTTGGCTGGACAGTCGGACGGAATGTTGCCCGAAGGAAGGCCAGGTGTCCGTCTAGGCCTTTGCCCACTGAGCCCCCCGATGCACCTGGCTAGAGCATTAAAAAATCACTTGGCGGGGCTCCATCATTGTGAGGCTCACGCAAATGCCTGTGCGCGTTTTCACTTCACGGTCGCAATCATACGCTGCATCCACTGCACGGTCGCAAATTGCAGCGAACGCAAAGAATCCCAACGTGTCCCTACATCATACGCTTTCTCTGCCGATAGACGGAGAAGATAGAAAAAGAGAGGAGAAAGAGAGAGAGAGAGAGAGAGGAAAAAAACAAGGAAGGGGGAGAAACATGGAGAAACAGCCCAGCTCAAGGAGACTTGGCTTGGATCTTGGGAGCCAAACCCTGAAATGCAAGATCGTACATTGAAACGCCACGGGGCACCCCAACTTGGCCCGGCCCTCGCCCTCTGATCCGACCGGGTTTCGGAGGTGATCCCTGCGACCGCGCAGAACATGGTGTCGTCGAGCTGGAAGAGCTTCTCATGCTGCTTCGCCTGATCGAGCCTGATCGAGCTGTCGTCGCTCATCCGGCGCGGGTGCGTCACGGTCGGGGTGCGTCAGGGTCGGGGGTGTCACACAGCGGCGACCGCGGGCGTGCTGGCGAGGCGACCGGTGGTACGGCGCCGAAGCTGCGGAGGGCCGCATGGCTGATGAGTGGATTGAACTGCCTACCAGCATCAACCATGAAGGGAAAGCTGCATACCTGTGTTTATGTGGTGGCACCCTCCCCAACGGGTTAGACCTGGCCGACCAAAGTGGTTATGCAGTGTTCTGATATGTTCTGCACAACTTCTATGGGTGAACTGTGTCAAGAACCAAAGGGTACCTCGGGTTGGCCGGTTTGGTGCGGAGATGCTAGTTATACACTCGGCAAGCCGGACCTTTGAAACGGACTCCGCAGCCTGAATATGCAGTGAATACCTGGTTAGTTGAATCACCCTCATGGAAAACGCCCATGGCCACCCTTTTCTTTTCCCAGGACGAGCAGCAACTTGGAGGTGGTCTTCTTCTCTCCGGCTAAGATCACTCCATCCTCCGCCAAGACGCCCACAGTAGAGCCAGCCAAGTTGATGGCTTCCATGGCATATTCCACCTGATACCTTAACGGTAGCTGCATTGCATTCCGAAGGTTTAATTAAGACCAGGTGGGTGTCTCAGGTCGCTTCCACGGGCCAACTGGCAACTCATTGCATTCACGGACTTGAAATCAACTGGACCTTCCCCGGCTCTCCAGGTCGCTGACCGCATGTATGTACAAATGATAGACCTTCCTTTTCACCGATCACGGCGAAGCAGCGAAGCATAGCGAACTTGTGCGAACGGCACTTCCACTTTGAAGCGAAGCAGCTCCGTTCGCACTCTGCGGACCCAACATGACCCATCCAACTTTCGAAGTTCGGAGACGGCTCTTCACCTTTCAGAGCGCAGGGGCTTCAACTCCTGGCAATATAGGAGGGATAAACGAAAACAAACGTCAAGGAGGGACAAGCGCCAAGGCTTTGAACATCGAGGTGCACTCATCCGACTTGGAGTTCTTGGAGTTTTTGGCAATCAGAATGTGGCCAGCTAAGCCACAAGCATTCACAAGCCCAGCCATCTCAGCAGATTAAAACAAAAACATGAAAACGGGTCTGGCTCCTCGTAGAGCCGAAGGGCCAGTACAAACATGCAGAATTGTGAGCTTGCTATGTCAAAAGCTCACTTCTCAAAATCCATTTCAACAGCAACAACACCTAACACAGGTAACTCATTGAGCGGAAAGGCTGCCTTGTCTGGGCAGCTCATCTGTGATTCATCAGGGGGCCCAGGAGCGGGAGGTGCGTCTTTCTTTTCAAAGGACGCAGGGGGTGAACGGAACCTGGAACCTCCTGGGCCCTCCTGGAAGGACTTGGTGAGTTGGGCCCTCCTGGGCCCATTTCTTCGCTCTTGGAACGTGCACCGCGACTCTGCAGCCAAGATGCAAGCGCCCTTCTGGAGAGAAGGTGGTGGTCCGTGAGTCGTAGCCTAGGCGTGGTAGGCACCGTGAGTTGCGCTGGATGTGTCCGCCAGCTGGTGTCCACGAGAAAAACCCTCCGGTTCCTCCTTGGAGTGGCTTCAACCATGCGAAACATCGTGCTGCATCTGTGCACATATATCATCTATATATCGATATTTATGGGTCTAAGATGTCTCAGTATGCAGGGATCCCTCCCGGCACTTTTTTGGAACATATGGGGCTGAGAGGGATGAACCGACATGAAGGTGCCATCAGAATCCTTTTGTAGGAGCTCTTAGGATTCAAGAACCTGTTATCCTTGGCGAGCCACAAATCAAGGGTTAACCGATGGGGCACAGTGGCTCGCCTGGGATTCCTTGGGCCCCTTCTTGGATCTGGGGCCCCCTGCTCTTGGCCTGGCGGTTGACCATCGTATGAACTTCATTGTAAGAAATACAAACCCATGAACGGCCACAAAGGGAAATCGATGTCTCCAGGATCTCTTCCACCAACCAACATTCACCTATCGATTTCCCCTATAATATCTTCATTTTCCTTACGATTATTCCTGGTCACATCTGGGCCCCTTCTTGGATCTGGGGCTGAGAGGGATGAACCGACATGAAGGTGAATCCCCAGACAAAGACCAGTCCACAAGCCCCTGACCTCTGAACCTAAATGAAGGTGAGGTTGTTGGACTCACGATGGAACGGTTTATGGAGCATCTGATAAGCATCTGCTAACCTCCCCACCCGCCACGCACTCCGCGCGGCCCAGCCACGCCGAGCCATGGCGCCGAGCTGGGGCGGTTCCCGGATGAGGCTGGAGCCCCAAACCGTGACCGAGGAGAGCGAGACACGGTGTCTGGTGCCATTTCCCGGGGGTTGGAGGTTGAAACCTGGAGGTCCAGGGTGGACCACCGAAAAATGAACAAGAGCAGACGACTAGAGAGGTCAACCTACCAGGGGTGTTGGGGCTTCGGGTTTGGACCCACAGCCAGATGATCATAGCAAAGCATACCAGGACCATCCTTTGTATTTGTATGTCTTTGTTGTTGGGCACCGGCACGCAGAGCTTTCGGACACACCTCTCTCTCACATTCTCTCACAGTGTCTTGTCAGATGTTTGTGCGGCAACCTGAAGACAAAGCCCGTGTTATTTCTTTAGCATTGATATAGAATAGCTCTGCCATTCGGAATATGCCAACGGGTGGTCTGCGGAAGATCGTCCTTCTCAATGAGGTTCGCAGGTTCATGGTTCGCAGCTCCACTGTTGACATTGAAATCGTGCAAGCACTGTATACGCTGGGCTGTATGAAAAGGTCATTCGACAGTTCTTCTTTCAACGAACTTTGGTACATCCCTGACCTGTATTTCCCCAGTCCGCCCACAGGCACTTCAAAGTCCGCCAGCCCAGCATGGCCTTATCCAAATGATGCTTCAGCTGCTGGTAAGCATCGTGTTGCGCGGGACGCGTTTCGGCGTAGCTGCAGCACATCCTCACATCGACCCCAAACAACGAAGCGAGCTTCTGATTTCGTCGCGCGTCCTGCCCGACTGGGCCCATTCTACCAAGACTACAATGACCGACCTCATCTAATTGGCCTCCAACCTAGACCCGACTGGGCCCATTCT